TAGCCAGTGGCCTTTCCGCCTTCCTGGTCCAGAGTGGTAGCGTCTGCATCCAATCATCTCTCGGTATGCCCTGCCCCTGCATGAACCACTCAAACACGGGGATGAAGTCCGACGTATTTTCAATCTCCAGGCGGATCGGCCTGCCATCAGGTCCCACAGGCGAGGGTCGCAACTCCTCCATCCTCATCTCCACCTCCTGCCTCGTCGTCGCCTCCCTACAAATCCTGGCAATGGGCTCCTCGAACCTACCTGCTCCCCTCAATCCCTCAATCGCCTGAGCGACAGTCCAACCCATACGCCTCGCATGCTCCCAGAAACTGTCCAAGAATAGCTCGATGTCCYCATCATTGTAGACCGGAGTACTCTCTCGATGGCGAGGCCCATGCCGCTCATATCCTCCCGATGCGCCCAACGGCGTCTAAGGCGGCCGTGTCCCCTTCCCTCCTCTTCGCATGGCTGTCTTTGTAAAGTCAGACCTCTTCTCTCGCCACAAACTTCTTCAGCCGCGTTCAAGATACCCAATCCTTCCACTCAGTCCCATTTACTTCCTCGATCTGGTACGCTCCGAAGTCTCCGACCCGTGCGATCCTGTAGGGACCTAACCATCTCTTATCGAGTTTCCTGGACCATTGCTTCTCCAGTGATGAATCGTAGAGAAGCATGACATCTCCAACTGCCAAGGGTATTTTCCTCACCTGCGCAGATTGATCCCACTGAGCCTTATCGTCTATACGGCTTCTCGCCACCTGGTCAGACGCCTCCTGGATCCTTTCTTCTATCGCCCCTATCTGCCGCGCCCGAATATTGAGCAAATCTTCGAATGACAGGTTAACTTTCAGATCCTGGCGCCTCCATGTCTTAAGAAAGCTTTCGATAGGGAAGGTGGCGTGCCTTCCGTACCACAGTGTCGCCGGTGCGTACTTGGTGGATCTTTTTACCGTAATATTCTCGACAAAGAAAGCCGCCCTTAGGTATTTTGGCCACTGATTAGGCCTACCTTCTGTCCATTTAGCCAGGAGATTCGTAATGGTACTATGTCCTCGTTCCACGGGAGCATTTGCCTGGGGGTGCGCGGCCGTGGTGTAGTTGGCTGCCACACCATACCTTGATAAAAGTTCTTGTACTTCCTGGCAAGTAAACTTCGATCCCCTGTCCATTACGAATTCCCTGACGAAAGGATAGCGCAAGTAATACTCCTCGATGCAGTTCACTAAGACTGACCCGGTCTTCGTGCGAATAGCACGCCCGTCTACGAACCCAGACAGGTTATCGCGCGCATCGAAGATRTAGTTATAGCCCTGATCCCCAAACGGCATAAAAAGCAGATCGAGATGCACTACGACCCCCACCTCTCGCTCTAGCCTTGGATGCAGCGGCTCTCCTTGTCTTAAACGGGACCTTTCCTGGCAAGGTACACAAGATCGGCAGAACTTCCCGACCATATCTATCATTCCGTCCCAGTAGTAGAGCTCACTTATCTTGGCATACGTAGCTTGTATCCCTCGGTGCCCTCCCGCAATGCCATCATGAAGCGCAACTATGACGTCGATCTGACGATTCCTACCACAGACGACTCTCCTAGGATTTCCCACTTCTCTTCTCACGAAAAGGTGGCCGTCTCGCACTAGATAGCGCTTCAGCATCCTCTGAGCTCTATCGCTTGCATCCCTAAGCCGCATTTCACATGACAGAAGAAGCCCCAACTCTGGGTAGATCCCGTCGTACTCCTCTACGCGAAACGCCTCCTTTATCTCCCCTTCCTCGAACTCGTCGTCCTGGCTCTCGGGCACTTCGCTCACATTCCCTGCCGGGTTTAACAATCCTACTTGGTCTAGGCTTTCCTGCAATAACGTATTGACGAGAAGATACATTCCTCCCATCAGGTCCTCATGCCGTTCTACCTGGCTAGGTCCTTCCTCAATCGTTCTCATATCCTCCACCACGCTATGCGAACTGGCCAACGCTAATTCCATCATCCACTGAACATCCTTACCGCCCCAGGGATCCTCTTCCTCAAAGGGCTTAAGGACTAACTCATTCCTCCTTTCATACCCAGTCGGCGCTTGCCAAATAGGATAGCCTACACAGCTGGGCACTCGCGGCGACCACTTATTGATATGAAGACGAACATCTTCTTCCTGATCCAGAAATCTATCAACTGGGGGCGTATTCTCCACCGCCTCCCCTTCCTGTCTATCCCAGTTGATCCGACTCAGCCCGTCTGCCCGGTTCTTGCTGTCAGGAATCCGTTCTAACTCAAAATTGAACATCCAGATGTATGTCAGCCATCTGGCAACCGTTGGATCCGATGGAACGTAATTCCTTAGAGAGTAGGCCAGGGCGGTCGGATCCACTCTCAAAATAAACCTCCTGCCGAAGATATAGTTCCGGAAAATTCGCAGACAGTGGAGGACAGCAAGGGTCTTCCTCTTGAACTGAGAGTAGTTCCTCTCCGTTGTACAGAGAGTCCGACTCTCAAATCGCAAGGGTCTTTCCTTTCCTTCCATGTCTCCCTGAATTAGAACTCCCCCTAAGGCAGTCGGTCCCGCATCCGTTTCGACAATGAAGGGTCGCGTCTCTGTGGCGTCATAATCTGGCGCTCCTAACACCAACCCTCCTTCTCGAAATTCTTCCTTCATTTTTGCCGCCACCTCTTCTTGCTCTTCACCCCATACCCACTCCTGATCCTGACGGACTAACTTCCTCAAGTGTTCAGTCTTAGCGGCAAAGTTTTTGACGAAGGCCCTCCAAAATCCACACGTACCAAGGAAGCTCTTGACATCAGTTATTGAGTGGAACGGAACTGGCCACTCAATAATCTTGTCCGTCTTCTTCACATCCGGCCTTCGGCCTTTCTCACTGCAGACGAATNTCTCGCTCTAGCCTTGGATGCAGCGGCTCTCCTTGTCTTAAACGGGACCTTTCCTGGCAAGGTACACAAGATCGGCAGAACTTCCCGACCATATCTATCATTCCGTCCCAGTAGTAGAGCTCACTTATCTTGGCATACGTAGCTTGTATCCCTCGGTGCCCTCCCGCAATGCCATCATGAAGCGCAACTATGACGTCGATCTGACGATTCCTACCACAGACGACTCTCCTAGGATTTCCCACTTCTCTTCTCACGAAAAGGTGGCCGTCTCGCACTAGATAGCGCTTCAGCATCCTCTGAGCTCTATCGCTTGCATCCCTAAGCCGCATTTCACATGACAGAAGAAGCCCCAACTCTGGGTAGATCCCGTCGTACTCCTCTACGCGAAACGCCTCCTTTATCTCCCCTTCCTCGAACTCGTCGTCCTGGCTCTCGGGCACTTCGCTCACATTCCCTGCCGGGTTTAACAATCCTACTTGGTCTAGGCTTTCCTGCAATAACGTATTGACGAGAAGATACATTCCTCCCATCAGGTCCTCATGCCGTTCTACCTGGCTAGGTCCTTCCTCAATCGTTCTCATATCCTCCACCACGCTATGCGAACTGGCCAACGCTAATTCCATCATCCACTGAACATCCTTACCGCCCCAGGGATCCTCTTCCTCAAAGGGCTTAAGGACTAACTCATTCCTCCTTTCATACCCAGTCGGCGCTTGCCAAATAGGATAGCCTACACAGCTGGGCACTCGCGGCGACCACTTATTGATATGAAGACGAACATCTTCTTCCTGATCCAGAAATCTATCAACTGGGGGCGTATTCTCCACCGCCTCCCCTTCCTGTCTATCCCAGTTGATCCGACTCAGCCCGTCTGCCCGGTTCTTGCTGTCAGGAATCCGTTCTAACTCAAAATTGAACATCCAGATGTATGTCAGCCATCTGGCAACCGTTGGATCCGATGGAACGTAATTCCTTAGAGAGTAGGCCAGGGCGGTCGGATCCACTCTCAAAATAAACCTCCTGCCGAAGATATAGTTCCGGAAAATTCGCAGACAGTGGAGGACAGCAAGGGTCTTCCTCTTGAACTGAGAGTAGTTCCTCTCCGTTGTACAGAGAGTCCGACTCTCAAATCGCAAGGGTCTTTCCTTTCCTTCCATGTCTCCCTGAATTAGAACTCCCCCTAAGGCAGTCGGTCCCGCATCCGTTTCGACAATGAAGGGTCGCGTCTCTGTGGCGTCATAATCTGGCGCTCCTAACACCAACCCTCCTTCTCGAAATTCTTCCTTCATTTTTGCCGCCACCTCTTCTTGCTCTTCACCCCATACCCACTCCTGATCCTGACGGACTAACTTCCTCAAGTGTTCAGTCTTAGCGGCAAAGTTYTTGACGAAGGCCCTCCAAAATCCACACGTACCAAGGAAGCTCTTGACATCAGTTATTGAGTGGAACGGAACTGGCCACTCAATAATYTTGTCCGTCTTCTTCACATCCGGCCTTCGGCCTTTCTCACTGCAGACGAATCCCAAGATAGTCGCTTTTCTCATGCAGTGTCTGGATTTGGCCCCGCTCGCCGTGAGGTTATGCTCTTCGAGCAGGCTCAGGACCTTTTCGAGGTCCTGGATGTGTTTACAGACAAAGCGCCTTACCCCCGGTGAGACTTCGTCGCTCTCTTTCACCGCCGGCCCCTTCACTGCCAAATCATCAATGTATGGCTTTGTGATATGGGGACTGACAGACTGCATAGCCCGAATCATGGCCCGTTGGACCATTGCTACCGCATTGGTCCACCCTTGAGGGGCCACGTTCATGTGGATTAATCCTCGCGGCGTATGCATAGCCGTCACCGGCCTATCCGGCGGGTAGACTGGGAACTGATCGTATCCTGAGTGAAGGTCTATAAGCAAAATTATAGGCCTTCCAGCACAGGATTCCGACAGCGCGTCTGCATTTGGCAGCCCTCCAGCATCTCGCACGGTCACTGCATTCAATCTTTGCAAATCCTGCACCCACCGCAGCGTCCCGTTAGGCTTAATAAAGCAGAACCACGGGGATGCATACGGTCCACTTGAATAGTCGGCGACGTGAGTACGTATCTTGCCGTCGAGATAATCCACCACCTTCCTTTCCTCGTCAGGATTGGGATATCGCGCCCCTCTCATGTTCCAAGGCTCGTGTGRCACTGTGTGTATGCGGATCATAGGTATCTTGTTTACATCGAGCCTGCCACACTCTTCGTCACTAAATGCGTAAGCKCGATGCTTCCTCTTCATTAATTCCACCATCAACGTTCGCTCCTGGGGCAGTAGGAAATCAGACTCCCCTATGATCAACTCTTTTTCATTCCCTTCATTGATACGACATGGTCTTGCTAAAGCATTTTTCCTCATTCGTCGAATCAACCCTCGTTCCCTCTCGTAATATGCCTCCTCGTCCTCTGTAACGAGGACGAGAACCAGGCGGCACTTCTTGTCTACCGTCTTGTACCGCCTTTGGGAACCCTGCTTGAGCCGTYCCCTAAAAAAGGCCGACTCACGGATTGTGTTTGCGCTGATGCGGGGTTCCCTCCACTTCCTGGGAGCCGATATACCAATTCCAACCTCCCTGCCTCAGGGCATTCCAGAACTTGTTCCCTCAAGGCCTGGATGGCCTCCGGATCTTCCATCTCATGCACGGCGACCAAATCCATGGCCTTCCCAATATCTGACAGGCTGAGGGAAAATGCTTCCACCCTCTCTCCTGCTTCGGGCTATGCCCAGAGTCTCCTGCGCTCCCCTTCCGATTCCTCGATCGTGAACGATCCTAGATTGGCCCGGTTCCTTATACTCCTTGGCCCGGTGTTCCTGCAAGTAATTATTTCATAATTCCCGCAGGCAGGATCGCACAAGAGGAGAATCAATGTCCCATCATGTTTGTTAAACATCACAGTCTCTGTCCTGCTTAGGAATGACCTCCCCAGGAGGATTCCATGGTCCACGTCTGGCATTATGAAGAAGCATGCCCTGGCCTTCACCTTTCCAACCTCGAYGAGCACATTCGAGGCTGTCCCGCAGAACACGACCTTACAGCTGGCTCCATGCAGAATACCGCAGTCAGAACGGTCTATATCCAGCCCGAATCTGATCGCGTCTGCCTCCCGAATAATGTTCATCTCTGCCCCGGTGTCCACCATTGCTGCGCACTTGGACCCCTTCACCATCAAATCCACCGTACCGCAGGCTACGCACTTCCAGTCCATCTTCGTGCCAGACTCCGACCACTCTGCCTCCTTGGGCAGAATCGTACCCAGATGGACATTGGGCACCAAACGTCGCGACAACCTCCCCTTCAGTTCATCGCGGAGTCGCGGGGCTGA